GCCGGGAGGAGGCGCCCCCCGCTCAGCCCTGACGTCACGAAACAGCCCCCGGGGCGCGGCGCGAGTGGGCGGAAATGTAAGCCGGTCCTGGCACCAGGGCTAGCGGGGTCTGCAGATCTGGTGGGCAGAAAGGCGCACGAAGCAACGGGAAAGGACAGGGGAGGACGTGCTGGGCTGAGGCAGGGAGAGAGGCGGGAGGGCCACCGGAGATGGTCGTCCAAGCTCCGTCTCCATCTCCCCCTCCCAACACGCGCTTTCAAATACAAAAAACGTGTTTGAGGCCGTGTGCGTATGCGTGCGGCTCTGCTGAGTGTGTGCACGGCTAGGTCTGGCGTGTGTCTTCTCTCCTAGCTGAGGAAAAGATTCCTGCTGACCAGAAAGGACCAAACAGCCGATTAGGGACGAGGACAGGGAGAGCGAGGACTTCAGAAATCCTCCGATGCAGCCCAAGAATATGGGACCCGCTCTTTCTTTTAACGTCTAGCCTTTGTATCTATCCATCCATCTACTATTTGTACCCCCCCATACATAACATTCACATTTTTAAAAAGTGGATGGTGCAGAAAGGTCTATTATAAAAGTCTCCTTCTATCTCCACTTCTCAAGTTCCCCAATCCACTTTGCAGAATCAACAGTACACAATCACTTTCTGTGGTTTAGGCTCAGTTTAGCTTGGAATACACACCGCGGCATCTTCTTTCGAACAGCTGCGCTGTGTTGCACGGAATGAATGTAGCCCGACCTCTTTCTGACGGGTGTTACCTTCTGGCCCTTAGTTACTCCTTCACAAATAGAGGCAGTGTCCCAGGGGGGTAAGGGAACAATCTGCCTGTAGGAAAGAGTATGTTTTCAGAGCCATCCATCCTCCTGGGCTTGACAGTGACATAGGAAAGCATACTGTTATGTGTGGGAGGGAGGTAAAAACATCGTCCAGAATATTTTTGACATGAGTTCCCTGAGCCTAATGAGGAATCGGGAAAAAACATCAGGTAAGTGCCCTGCTCAGAACAGAACCTTCTCTGATAACACAGGCTTTGGCGAACAAAACGAGGCTTCACTTGGGGTCTCTTCAGTCGGAGTATGAAGATGCCTACAAGCGCAATTCAAATGAGGGTTCAGATTCCTTTTACTGAAAATTAATGAGGCGCATCTACATCTTGAAAAGGCTGGGAATTATTTTACCAAAATCACAGCCACAGAATATTAAAAGAGTGGTCTTTAAAGTGCTAATAGTAGGACAGCTGGCAAAATTGGAATAAGATGTGTAGATTACATAATCATAGTGTACTAATATTGATTTGCTCATTTTTTTTGTTTCCTGATTTTGAGAATTAGTACTGTGCTCATGTAAAAGAATGTCCTTGATTTTTCTCTTTGAGTTTATTGGTACATTTTAGGTATACAGTACAGTTACATTCACCACGGGGACCTCGTACCTTTACATGATGCATCTCGGTTCTCATTTCCCCCATCCCCCTGCCCTCCCTTCACTCCCTCCACCCCTCCCCTATTTACAAAGATGTTGTTTCCATATTTTTCCTTTTCTTGTATTTTTTCTTTTCCCTTTTTTCTTTCCCCTACCCCTTCCATTTCACCTACTCCTCTAGCCCTTTTCTTCCTATTTCATATTATCAATTATACAATTTCAGCCTTATTTCCTCTTTTAGTTTTCACACCAGAGAAACTATTTGGCATTTATACATGTGTGTCCTATTTATTGCACTGAAGAGTATCACCTCAATGTGTATCCATTTAGCTATGTCTCTAGTTTCTCATTCTTTGTGGCTGAGTAGTACTCCGTTTTATAGAAAAACTCCATCTTCTTTATCCAGCCTCCAGTTGAAAAATGTCCTTGCTTTTGCAAAATGCACAACGAGGTCTCTAGAGGTAAATATGCAGCACTTACTCTCAAATTATTAAAAATATATAGTTAGGGACAATGCTAAAGCCAGTGGACAACATGTTAACATTTGGACAACTGGGATAAACATCATATGGACATTTTTATACTATTTTTACATTTTTTCTAAAATCTGAAATTCTTTCAAATCAAAAAAACTATTTTGGGTACAAAACAAAGTCTGCTTAAAATCAGTGAGGTACCAAAAAGAAGATATCAAGTGAGGCCCTTTTTTGACACAACTCTGACAGAATCTTCCTCTAGTGTTAAAATTATATAAGGGTTCCAACTGCTCTTTCAAATACATTGATTCCAAAGGTTCCTTAATAGTTCAAAATCTCTGATTAAAAGGGGCTGGGGAGGTAGCTCAGTGGCAATGCACCTGCCTGGCAAGTGT